CCAATCACTCCAAAGTATAATCCAATGGCAATATATACTGTATGTAATCCAAACATTCCTACATTGAATGAAAAAGTAGCACAAAAGTATTATTATACGTTGAATAAAATTGTGATTGAACCCATTCGATTTGAGGGCTGGTGCCATCACCGAAGTAACGCGTTGTATAGATAATATAGATAATATATATATTTATATATTATTATTATATATTATATTATGTAGTACGTGTATTTTTTTGCCCTTTTCACATTGTGGAAAACAATTTGTAGGATTAAGGAAACGTCCACGAGCGTTCAAAAACGTGCAAAATCTCCCAGTGTCCTATGAGGCGAACAAAAAAGCATGGGTGACAGGAGCCACGTTTGCGGGCTGGTTGAGGAAATTAGACAGCACTATGGGTACGCAGGGCCGAAAGATAGCTATATGATAGTAGAAAATTGCCCAGCCCATCCTAACATTGAACTTGAAAACATCGAGTTTTGTGCCATTGCCGCATGCGTCATTTTACTCACCTGTGCGGCGGATTTTCGGAGTAATTTGACGCATGCGTCATTTTACTCAATATCAAACGTGTTTGATAATTTTTGACTCACGCGTCATTTTACTTAACGTGTGCGCGCGCGCTGAGTAAATTTATTCAACACTGGTACTCACAGCGCATGCGTGTAAATCATATCGACGATGGCTGCGCCTAGTATTGTGTGTGAAGTTTTATCGGAGGACAAACTGGTAGATATCTGACCTAATTATGAATGCTTGTACATGGTAAATAGCCCCGAATTTAAAAATAGAGATAGTAAGGAACGAGCCTTTCAAGATATAGCGGCGAAAGTCGAACAAACAGGGGCCGGTTTCACGAAGCGTACTTAAGTATTTAATCATGACTAAATCACTAATCATGATTAACTTCTCGTACTTAAATTGAAGTGACTGTTTCACGAAGCGTAATTAAAGTTAATCATGATTAAGTTAAATCACAGCGCGATCGAATAAGAGTGAGACCGTTTACTGGGCGGGAGAGTACCACCCTAGAAACGTTCTTACAGAAATTCGATATAGCCGCTGAGTATAACGGCTGGAACGAGGCTGCTCGCACTGCGCAGCTCGCGGCGGCGTTGGAAGGGCCGGCGGCGGAAGTCATCGACGGGTGTACAGAGAACCTCTCCGAGTCCGCCCTCCGGGCTGAACTGCATTGCAGATTCCACCCGGCCGGGCAGGAGTTGCTACACAAAGCAGCCATGGAGAAACGCCGACGACGGCCGGAGACGTGGCTTGAGTATGATAGGGAGTTGAAGAAACTCGTCAGCCGCGCACTCCCAAACTCCACGCCCGACCAGCAGAGCGAGTGGGCGCTGTGGAGGTTTGTCGACAACCTACCGAGTGTCGGCCAGTGCGTATACGTGCTTGCCCAGCATGATAAAACGGTAGAGCAGGCTGCCGCTCACGCGACGGAGTATGAGGCGATCGTTGGGGCTGATACGCCGTGCATGAAGCCGCACGTGGGACAAGTTGGACAGCAGAGGGGGGGAACCGCTCCCGAGCTCACCGGGCCCGTTGCCGGGAGAAATCCTGGACTGACGACCAGTCGTTGGACGCCGGAGGAGCTAGCCGACCTAGCACAGATCATGCGGGACGTCTTCGGACGAAGCGAAATAGATCGTGACCAGGGGCGGCGATTCGACTACCCCATCTCGAGGCAGGAGCAATCCTATGGCGACCGTAAGGCCGTATGGCCGTCAGCGGGTCGCGACGACCGAGGCAGACGAGACGGAGGTCGGCGAGAGCCGATCATCTGTTTCCGACGTGGGAGACAAGGTCACATGGCGCGAGTGCCGTGGTGGCCAACCAGTCGGCCAGCATGGGCGCACTGACGCCCGGCCGCTGACGCAGGTGGCGGCCGGCCACCCGACCACTAGCACACCGCCGGGAGGCACAGGCTCTCAAGGCGCGCTATCGCCGGGAGCGAGTAAGGGCGAGAGCGACGGCCAACGCGGCGGCGGCAGTGGCGCCGCCATCACCAACGCCGCCGGCGCGGTCCTCCGCTCCTGCGCTCCCGGCCGCCGTGAGAGCGCCGCCGGCAGAGCATGCCGACACCGCCTCCGCCCGATGGGAGCCCGGCGGACGTCCGGAGCGGCACCTCTTTGCAGGTGCCCCACTCCAGGCGGGGGCCGTGGGGTCCGGTCGATGGGCCTGGTGTGTGGCCTGCGACCGCCCCACGCTGCACGCACGTGCCCACGTCGCGGTGGTGCAATGCCCTGTCGGCGGGTGCAAGTTTTCCTGCTCGGCGGTCGTGGAACACCGGCTGGCGCGGCACCTCCGCGATCGCCCCCCCCCCAAACTACGGGGCGACTATCGGCGGGACCGATGGGAGCGTACATCCGGGGGAGAGAACCCGTCATTTCGGGAGCTCTCCGTCGGGTACCTGCGCGGTCCTGCTGACGCACCAGCCTCGGCCCGGACGCCGACGACGGCCCTCGCGACAGCCGCTCATCCCCCTACGTCCAAGCGCACGGCGGTCCGGCCTTGCTCGATCGTCGTCGAGCGGGCCCCGCCGTGCCGACGCCCGGCGCAGAGACCGAGCGGCAGCGAGAGAGGCGGCGATCGGCCCGTGGTGGCGATCCACCATCCCGCCGACAACCCCACGGCTCCGACGACGACCCCCGCGCCACCTGGCACGACGATGGAGCCGATGGTCGTCGATGGGGAGATTCGCGGGATGTCGAGCGCCATGCTACGCCAGGCCGACGTACTCAGCCGCCACCTCCAAATGCGCGTCATGAAAACGGCCTGGCTGTTGGACGACGAAAAAGAACGACGCCGCTTGCTGCTGCAGAAGCCGCCCAAGTGAGGAGGATCCGGGTCCACCCTGCAGCGAACGACGGCAGCCGAAGGGGACCGCATCGGGGATCTAACATTGTAATTATAATAGGGGGAATTTAAACTACGTTTGTAATTGTATGTTGCGGGGATATAATTCTGTAATTTCGTATCGCGGTAATTTAAAATTTGTAATTTCATTTCGCGTGAATTAAAGCACATTGTATACACTCGGGTGACGCAATTCAGGCTGACGCCGCTAGTATTGGTAGCTCGAAGCGCGAAGGGGCTTACGCGCTAGAAGAAGGGGGGCGATGTAGCGGCAGCCTGATTTGTGCGCCGGGGGTGCGTAGTACGCGCCGGCGGCGAGATAGTACGCGCCGGCGGCGAGATGGGGTGAGCGTGTGTGTGCGTGAGCGCATGTGTGTGACGTGTGTGCGTGAGCGCGTGTGCGTGAGCGCGTGTGCGTGAGCACGTGTGTGCGATGTGTGTGCGTGAGCGCGTGTGTGCGTGAGCGCGTGTGTGCGACGTGTGTGCGTGAGCGCGTGTGTGCGACGTGTGCGTGAGCACGAAAGCACGTGTGCGTAGAGACAGTGTGTGCGTGGCGCGTGAGGCGGAGTGGCGGACGTGTGTGCCGTGAGCGCGTGTGTGCGTGCGTATACGCGTATCGGTGATACGTGTTCTTGTGTTGGCACGTGGGCGTTGCACGTGGCGTGTGTGTGTGTGTGTGTGTGTGTGTGTGTGTGCTGTGTGTCTGTGGTGTGTGTGTGTGTGTGTGTGTGTGAGAGAGAGTGTGTGTGTGTGTGCGCGCGTGCGTGTGCGTGCGCGTGCGCGTGCATGCGTTCCTTCTCATGTAATAGCAGCAATGAGAGTGTCGGGGACCCGTCTATAGCGTTGGTATCAACATGGCAACCTCCACCATCGAACGACCTGTTTACTAAAGTGTTATAGTACACACTCACAGTCACTCTGGTGTTTTAATAATAAAAATGATTGTAAATAAACAACCGCTCTCATACACAATACACAATATAAAACACATATAACAATTACCCTCAGCCAAGCATCTCGGCAGCATTCGGTGAAGAATCAACCAATTTTCATCGCGCAACCACTATCGACATCACGAGCTTTTAGGGGCTAGTTGAAAACCCAGAAGGGCTCGTACAAACCTTACCTTACTACCCTTCGGCTAACTTGCATATTGTCTTTATTTCTACCCCTGTTAGTAATGTAGTAAAAATCAGTCAACTGACAAATAATTACGTACAGTAATAGTAACAGTAATAGTAAACAGTAATAGAGTATATAACGTACATTGCTACCTAATTTGTGCAGTTTTCATGTAAGTGCATGATATTTGTTAACTAGAAAGTACATGGTCATGTGATAATTGTATTAATTAATTAAAATTTATCAAAATTCATTTTAGATTTCTGGGATACATCGACAAGCTTGGCACTGCTTACGAGGCAAATGCCATTGCATCAGGCTTTGGTCAATATATAGCACTGGTAAGAACTTTCCTTATTTCAAAATAGACGTTGAGATCAGGCCCATCTATTTACACTGAGAATGTAGCAGTTTATAATAACTAGTAAGATTTGACCCATAATACTACATAGGACATATTATATTTTATTATTAATGCATGTATTTTCCAAACAGAACTGGTAAGAAGATCAGTGTCATTCGAAATTATTGAGGAATTATCTAGAGTTAGCTATCTTACCCCGCACATAATTATCCGGTCTGCATCTTAGTGGAATAAAATGTGTAGATACTTCTCATAATTGTCATTAGATGCACCCAGTGCAATTATATTACACTGCTCTTGAGTTGTGCCTGGAGAATGCTAATACATATAGGTGTTATTGTAGTGCTAATACATGTAGGTGTTATTGTAGTGCTAATACATATAGGTGTTATTGTAGTGCTAATACATGTAGGTGTTATTGTAGTGCTAATACATATAGGTGTTATTGTAGTGCTAATACATGTAGGTGTTATTGTAGTGCTAATACATGTAGGTTTTATTGTAGTGCTAATACATGTAGTGTTATTGTAGTGCTAATACATATAGGTGTTATTGTAGTGCTAATACATGTAGGTGTTATTGTAGTGCTAATACATGTAGGACTAAGGTGTTATAGTAGTGCTTGCTCGTTACATGTTTGCAGCCCATACTAAGAGAGCTAGTGGAGCAAAAGCCTCTCCTCACCCAGCAAGAAGCCAGGGAAGCTATCGTGAAGTGCATGAGAATCCTTTTCTACAGAGATGCCCGATCTTTCAACAAGGTTTGTACGTGCCGTGCAGCACCAGCTGCTAGCACTATAGTTTATGCATTACGAGGGACGACATTGACATGTGTCCACTGACTCCACTTTTTCGGGACGGGCAGACATGCTGCCGGAAACGTGAAAGTAACTATGCACTTTTCCGGCAGATGAGGTGGAAAAGAAAACGTTTATTATTACTTATTTTATTTTTATTTTGCTGTGACGGTGTCTAACCTTGGCAATATATATATATATATATATATATATTTATATATATATATATAGTTTATTTGTATATAGATATATATGTGTATGTGTTTTGTAAATTTAACTGTTACAGTTTGAGATAGTCACAGTGACGAAAGACGGTGTAGTCATAGAACCACCACAGTCTGCAGAGACCAACTGGAATGTCGCACATTTCGTCAAGTGAGTGATCCGTCATTATTTGTTGCGTGTTGTGAACGTTTCTTCTTCTGGGATGGTGGTGTAGGGGTTGGGGTATGATTTTTATAGTAGTACTAAGATGAAATGCCTGGAATGCTAAAAATATTAAACATCAAATTAAATATTAAATAAAAAAAATTACTTTTAAATTATTAATATTAATAAATTAAATATTAAATATTAAAGAATATTAAACATCAAGAAGTTAGCCATTAAGGGTGTTTCCGTTTAGGGGAATCATATTTTTATATGCGAAAAATACCTGTTACATGTCAGCTGGTAAAATTAAAGAGTGTCGTAATTGTTCTTATGTTTTCTTGTAGGGGATTCAACTGACGATAATATGTATAGCGACAGATTATGCATCACATGGAGGATGTTCCAGATCGAAAGCTCGTAGCATGGTGTGGAGTGAGGGATTCTGGGACTCAACGAACCATACCTGCCTGTTCGTGTGATTTATTATTTGTGGAGTGACCCATCGCCAGAACATGTAGCAGTTGCACCCTCTTATTTCTCTAGCCATTGTGCATCAGAGTTCTCTTAAAAATTCCATCTAATCAGATAGGAATGGCTGGTAATTTAAAATGCAGAGATTATACCATTCTGTTTACGTTTGGAAGTACTCTTATATTGGTTTCATGATTGTGTACATTTTTCGATTACGGGCTTTTGCCGTTAGTCACACCGCAGTTGCTGCATGCCAAGGTTTCTTACCAACGCGCATGTGAAAACATTCGGCTGATATTCCAACTGTTCGCCATTGCCTCTGTATTTAATTCGTCACTGTACTTATGTAGCTTGATCAGTAATAAAGATGATTTCCAATTGTAATGTAACTGTTTCATGATTTCTCATTCTATAATTAGATGCTGATTGGGTTTTGTTTATTTGATCAGTATTCAAAAATAGTGTTTGATGTTAGCATATGATTTGTACACTCGTGCTTAAACACATGGAAATGTCCCCCGTCTCTGAATCAATATGCAATGTACACGTACTCACGTCAGAGTAAATATAAGTAGCTATGAAAAGTACGTGGATTTGTTGAAGCAATTATCGATGATTGAGTTTGATCGATAATTGTATCGTACCGCTATCTATTGGAAGAAACCGATTACAAATATAAATTGGCAGCATTGTGGCAGTGGAATAATTGGCATTGTGTATATAACGATACAAATAATCGTGTTCATACTTAAGTTGCGTATGCTACGTGTAGACATTACATGTTTGCTAAATCATGACATTCGTGCAATATATTTACTAGTTGTTTTAACACCCTCCCCCCCAACAACTACCTTTGCTACGTTTAATAGTAAAAAAAAATCAATTTTGTGATCCTACGGTTGCCGAGCAATCGCATACACACATGATTACGTAACCGCATTGCACGACGTAAAACATTTGCCTAGCCTCTATTTACTAATGCCCGACGTACGATAGGTGAATTAAATCGGAAGATAAATATTTTCCTACGTGTGACCGTTGCCCCCGGCTCTCAACAATCGCCATATCGCTCTTATAATCACAGCTGTACACCGTCACACACACACAAGCACGGGCACAAGTTTCCGCCGTGTGTTAGGCCCGCGTTTACCAACAACCATTGCACGACGGAGACTACCCAGTCGAGTAGACGGGAGGGACAAATACAGGTAACGGATTGGTTTTTTTTAAATGTTGATCACGATACATCCCATACTCGCGGCAGTGTAGAAACCGTACGTCTGTCCGTGCCCCGTAGATGTATAGGTCCGTACGTCTGTCCGTGCCCCGTAGATGTATAGGTCCGTACGTCTGTCCGTGCCCCGTAGATGTATAGGTCCGTACATGTGATCTTGTTCCAGTTGTTTGTTCATACCTACTGTTGTACGGCGCAGTGGCGTAGACCAGGTTCCTGCAGTTGTGGGCGCGGGAGTGAGTTTTCGCATAGTTATCCATCATAATGTATATAAGACTGTGTGCGAGTAGCGGCGCACACCGCGAAAGGCCTTGGGCGCAAAGGCCCTTAATGGGTGGGGACAGGGCCCGCCGTAGGGGCCCCGGCGGTGGTCCAGGGGGCGGAGCCCCGGATAGCTCTTGGATTTTACGCAATTTAGAAACTTCAAGATGGCTCGTTTTTGAGGTAAATTGAAGCAAATTGACATTGTAAGTGCAATTGTTGGGAATTCGAGGTATTTTTTATTTTGACCCAGAGGTTTAATAACTACGCCGCCGCACCCCGCCCCCCCCACACACAAACACCAGTGGGGACCAGAAGTAAATTCAATACCGCCGCCCAGGGGCCGAAGCGCGGATTGCGAGCTCAAGGCACGAAGCGCCACTGTCGTGGAATTGTTAAAAAGTTGGCAATCTAAAAAGGCAATCAATTTTGACATCTTTAATCAGTAAAATGCAGGATTTTTGCGCTCCTTCAGGTGGTGTCCGCCTCGCTGTTTAGGAGAGGTCCAGGGGACGCTCCCCCGGAAATTTTGTTGAAAGTAAACCTCTTCGATGCAATTTCCTGCATTATGAGGCAGCACCTATTAAAGCAATCCTACATCACGAATGAGGACATCAGCTGTTTGAGTTTGAGTATTTTTACCGCTTTGGCGGGACACCCAAGACTAACATGCTTACTACCACAATCCTGTGGCTATACTGTCCATGTCCTCACGTGGGGTGTCGCAGTGCCGACTTACCCTAGGCTAAAATACTTTTACCCTGACATCTAAGGGGGAGGGGGCGACCGCCCCCTGTGCTAGCCGCAAGCCCTGTGACACTACAGCACCTACGAATCATCTCTCCCCGGAAATTTGATAAAACGTATATTTTACTGAGAAGTGACAACGCTTACAAAGCTGGCAAAAGAATATGAGAAAAAGCAACCCAGATTATGAACCAAGTAGTGCATGTTTTCAACCCCGTTATACAAAATGCGGAATCATACTTCCCGGTCAGGTCTGCAGCAGCCCGCCCATCCCCATCCCCCCTCCCAAAAAGGTGAAGATGAATTGATATTTTCGCCATTCAACGCCCCCTAAAAATGCCAATATGCACCAACTCTCAATAGGTTCTAGTTCTAATTTTGTATAAAGCAAGGATTTAACCTCGTGAGGGCAGTATTAAGACGTGATTTAGGAACTTTTGAAAAAAAATCGTAATATGGGGAATCGCGTGCAAAATTAACCGTCCTGAGTTCAGTAAAATAATGTCATTCTTGAATCGAATTTGAGCAAGCCATTTTACAGTAGATGTATTTCAAATTCCATTTCTGTATATAATACGAGCTTAGGACGAGGTATGAATAGGCGATGACGGGATTTGTAGATAAATATCTAGTTATTTATTGTCTGTAAGAATATTAATTTTTCCACCGATTTTCTTCCTGAAAGTAGGGGGTGATGAAGCCACCCCAATCCCACCTCATAAGTGTATGGGGATTACGCCCATCTCCGCTATCTACCTCCCTGTCAGATGAAGCAAAATTTGACATTTTGATATGCATAGAAAAAAAAAAAACACAATATTCATGGAGATCATAATCTTTGTTAGCAGTACTCTACAGACCGAACCCCCAGCGGAACGGATTTTGGTGACAGTGGGGGTGGCTACATTGTTCGCGCTTCGACAGTGGCCAATGCAGGATTCTCGAGGAAGGGTGGGTAAGAAACATGCGGGGGTATGCGGGTCCCTCCTGCCAGAACCAAATTAATGCTTGAATCCCCGCTCAATTATTCCTCCCTGAAAGTAGGGGGGATGATTGTACAGCGCCATCCCCGCCCACGTCAATACAGTGGGCGGGATCGCATCCCCCCTCGGTCAATAAGTGGGGGGATGGTCATCCCCCGCCCAATCCCCGCTACTACGCCCCTGGTTGTATCGAATGGCCATATGGGACATTTTGCGAGAAAACCCATCGTAATTTAACAAGAACCGTTAAGTTGAGTTTGCGCGCGCACGGTTTCGTATAAATATCCTTCGGTTGTTAGTTCTCAGACCAGCTTATTATATAGTGGGCAGTCGAGCGACGAAGCAAATGAACGACTGGCAGCGGGCTATCCCGCTCGTAGCGGCAGATATGGCGACCGGCGAAATTCGAGCCATGCGAGGAATGCGTCTCGACCATGGATATTTTCCTCCACTACTCACTAATTCCTGCGGTACGCGCGCGCGCGCTGCGTGTGCGTGTTGTGTGTTGTGTGTTGCGCGTGCGTGCGTGGCGCGTGTGTGCGTGTGTGGTGTGTATGCTGTGTGCGGTGCTGTGTCATGTGGCGCGCGTGTGTGTGTGTGTGTGTGTGTGTGTGTGTGTGTGTGTGTATTGTGTGTTTGTGTGTGTGTGTACTGTGTGTGCTGTGTGTGTCGTGTGTATGTGTGTGCTGCGTATGTGTGTGTGTGTGTGTGTGTGTGTGTGTGTGTGTGTGTGTGGGTGTGTGTGTGTGAGTGTGTGTGTGTGTGTGTGTGTGTGTGTGTGTGCTGGTGTGTGTGTGCGTGTGTGTGTGGGGGGGTGTGTGTGTTGTGTAGTTCAAGATTTAAGTTATTAGATAGTTAATTGCTCATTTTAATTGGTATATTTTTGGAGTTTTTGATGTTTGCTGAAGAGTATAGAGCAACTTCGTAATAATTACGTCATGAAATAATACCGGGTTTAATCATGATGTCTGTAATTATGAAGTGTGAAATTAGGGAAATGCTTTTTTTCGCAGTTTTTGTGTAGTATTTCTGCTATCGCATTGCAACAAATCTGCGCAAGAAAGCTAGTCCTGTAACGTATAAGTCATCACACAGTATAATATATCGCCTATTATTCCCTATATTCCAGCGCATATTATCCATATTATTCGCCTATTATCTCTCTGATATATATATAATATATATAGTTGGAAATATGTTCTCGACATGCTATGACAGCTATATCGCGTATAACTTTGTGCAGTCTCGCCATTCTCCATCTAATCTCTTCGCTCTCTCTGGTCTCTTTCTCTCCTCAGCTCTCTCTCTCTCTCATCTCTGCTCCTCTCTCTCACAAACACACACACACACACCACACACACACACACCACACACACTACACACACACAGACACACACTGCATCTATTTTCTTTCACGACTCTCTCTCTGCTCTCTTTTTCTTTGCTCTTTTCCTTTCTCTGGCTGCTCTCGCACACTCTTGCTCTCTAATCGGCTATCTATCTCTCTTCCCTCTCTCTCTTAAATATCATATTACATTTTTTCTTTGGTGCCTGACCTTGGACATACACATAGAATTTCGCTCGTTCCTTCGTTTAACTGTGACTTGAAGTGGAATTAAAACTTAATTAAATGAATCGAGTTATATTTCAGTTAATTATACTTTAATATATACCAGGAGTAGATACCTCAGGATATATACTAGGATGTTTACTATGCTAATTTGACTGTTCTTCGCATGTAACGCACATGCGTGCGCACCATGCAGTCCTCTGAATCTGCTTGGGAGTTCCAGCAAACGGTTTGCGTACGCCGCGGCATTCGATGGCATGTTCACGTCTGTACTGAAACCTGAACGAAACAGTGCCGTAGCAATCACGGCCAGAAACCGTTGATTTAACGGACATGGATGCCAACGTAGGTTTGAACATCACGAAGTTCATTTTCTACGACGAGGCGATTCTTTCGTTAATGACATTCGTCGATTCATGTCACGCTAGAAATTAGAACTTTGAACGGGACACCTTCTAAGACTTGGTTCTAACGCGTGGAGGATTACCGTGACCTTGATGACCCGGGCATTGAAGGATTCTTAAACACCATACTGTTCACGAGTTCTTCCTCATGGTCAGTCGACGTCTCAGTGGTTTGCAGTTCATATTCATCTCTAACATATCGTCTCCACCCCACTGGTGCATCCCGGGCCCTGAGCCCGGAGCGAGAGGTCCAGTCCGGTCCATCCTAGCTTTAATCACACATTCATTGTCTGTAAGACTATTTATGACTGCACCACACATTCATTTCTATACGTCGCAGTGTCTTTTCTCATGTCACAAATTCAGACATTCTTCACAGGTACGT